CCCCCCCCTCTCTCTCTCTCTTCCCTCATCTTCCACTCTCACATATAGTTAAGCCAACCCGATACTCTTCTTACACTGCTTATCCCATTTTCACTGCTACGACTACCATCTTCGACGATTATCTCGCAATATGACCTACCAACGTCAAAGTCTCGGATCGACCTGGGAAGGATTTACTATCCTTCCCTTCTCCAATTCTGGCTTTGTTCCCGAGGGGTTAGGTTTTCGCATGTACGCCCATGACAGTCTCCCGCAGGAGCGAATTAGCACCCTAGACGTCGGTATTGGTCATCCAAGCCGAGAGGACCAAGGACCGCGACGAGGGGAAACCATTGAAGATAGTCGCTATAGGAAGCCTTGGCCTCACTGCGCCGATTACATTGACGGAGACCGATCGTTTCTAGCAGCATGCGACATGGTTGCCTGTGTGCTATATGGGTATTGGCGGTTGCTAGAGAAGAAGATCCAGGCCGAAGGGCTAGAGAAGCTTGTGGACGAGCAAGAGGAGGGGTTTCACAACGATACAACACGCAAGGATAGCACTCGCTTGTATAATAAGCAAGAGTGCCATAAGTACATTTCACTGGAGAATCTGGGTAGGCACCTTGAGATCATTCCGGAGGAGGAATTCGTGTACGACCGCAAAGAAGAACTCTTCTTTGACGTCACTAGTCCCGGATTCCAGCGATTTTATCGGCAAACTATTCGGAACCTTGGGCAGGCCAATTGCGTGCGTGTGGTACTTCACTTCGGACCTCGACAAGTCACTTTCCCCTCTGAGGCTCGGATACTACTCGGATGCCACCGAGTTATGGAAATGGCAGCCTGCTTCCCTAGCAATACGAAGGTGGATATTGTGCTGCGAGGAGAGTTATGCACATACGAGGTTGGGAATGAGCTATTCCCTCCTCATGGACGTTGGGGCTTAAGTGGCTTCAAAGTCCCTCCAACGTACCTCGACGATCTTATCCGAGAGGTTATCTACGATGAAGTTAGTACCAAGGAACTGCATCCAATTACCCAGCAGTTCATATCGTTTCTAGACAGGAAGCAGGGGGGTTCATGGCCTGATCTTCTTGAGCTAGATTGGGTCCCCTATAGGGAGCAGGTCGTCATTGATAAGGGCCGCTACCTGGGTATGCGGCCGAAGCATGCTGTAGTAATAGAGCAAATTATGAGGGAGAACTCTAACGTTATACACCCTACCTATGTAGCTAGTCATCATCGGGTTGGTGTTCGTCTAGAGAGGGTTAGTATTGTCGATGGACAGACAAAGTGGGACTAGGTTAGTGTGGTAGCTAAAGGTAGGATTTTGTGAGTTACTATAGGCATACTTAGTGTATCATAAGTAGAAAGAATATAAAATTTAAACTAGGTACTCTACATAGAAGAGAGAGGGTTTCTAAGAAGGTTTATCGAGTCCACCCCTAGCTAGAGCGATACTCTTATTAGCATATAAGTGTGACGATACCTAGCTCAGCTCTACCTAGGCCACCACGTGCTTAAAAAGGTACAGTATACTATATTAGTAGTATCTAGAGCTAAATAGTATATACGTATAATAATAAGTATATTATTATAAGAACGATAATAGTAATAGAGAAGAGAGGGGGGGGGGGGGGG